GACAGCAGTGTGTAATACTAGGATTATGCTTGGAATGCTTATCATTCTAATCTTCTAAATATGTACTGCTTGTCATGTCATAACAATTACTGCTATACTGTCTCTCAAGTAATTGTATGTTTAAAAAAAAAGGAGGTAATAAATGAAAACAAGAGACAAGAAAAAAAAGTCAGGACTGTCAAACAACATCTTGTAAACTCAAATAATGAATCTTGTTTGTGAAAGATCATAGAAAGAAGGCCAAAAAAAAAAAAGTTGTTTTGTGTTGTTCAATGGTAACAACTATAGGATGGTACTAAAAACCTGTATGTAAGCCTGTTCTAACAAAGGTTGTCTCAGTATACAAATAGAAGGATTTTCCTGGAAACATGTATACATGTTTACAGTGGAAACCCATATGACTCTTAATAGTAGTTTAAATAATTAAGAGTTTGACTTAAAAATAGTCTGGAGTCTGGGCATGGTTGTACATGCCTTTAATCCCAGTTCTGGGGAGGCTGAAAAGAATAGGATCACTATGAATTCAAGCTGTGTAGTAAAACCTTGTACATGGGGGAAAAAAGCCTGATGATAGAGAACAAGTAATTATAATCAAATTACAAAATATACTATTTGAAAAGTATGAATTAAAATTATAATTTTAATCTTGAGATCTTTTAAAATATTATTTTGCTTGCCAAAACAATTAATGTTTTATAATAACTTAGTTAAAATGTTATGCTGTGGAAACATGAGCCATGACTCTTTTCCTTGAATATTTAGCCCTCGAAGGTGCTGTTGCTAAACCACTAAAAACACTATGGTATTCAAAATTTTAATAGCACAAATTACTTTTGGCAAAAAAATACCTAAATATACAGGTAGAAAGGAAGGAGTCTTTATAAAAAATATACCTAAACAATGATAATAGCTAGCAAAACAATCATCTGGTATTATTTTTATTTATTATTGGTACATGTTTATAGTATATGTTTTATTACTTCTATGGAGTTAATACACATATAATACCTTTACATAATCCTTTTCATCCCTTATCCATCCCTTCCCACTCCCCTTGATCCCCTTCCTATTTGAGAAAGATCTATTTCCTAAGTCTTTCATTTTGCTCTTCATTTATAATTTGTCATGTAAGAGAAAACATGCTATATTTAAAGTTGTGAGTCAAGTTTATCTTTAATGTTATGATCTCAAAGTACATCTGTTTTCCTACAAATGACTCAAGTTTTATCTTTCTTTATGGCAGAGTGAGTCCTGTTCCATTGTATGTGAATACCACATTGTCTTTATTTGTTCATTAGAAAGGCAATGGTATTGTTATTTTAAAGATATACTGCTTAGGCAGATGCAGTCACTTTAATCCGCTGAGCTATTTGGCTCACCCAAAGCAATTTCTTATAAATTATTTATTATGATGCTGTGACTTGCCAAGAAGAGAACTGAATCAAGTATAAATGAAAGTAGACTAGCACATAAGCAAAAAAAGCTTTGAGAAGGCCACAGTTAATATTCGGTTATCTAATAAAATGTTAGTAGTATGAGATACTATGGCTATGTACCTTTTATTGTATCCACTTAGGTGCTTTACAATTTCTGGAAAGTTGATTTTTAAAGAATAATCTAAAGTCTTTTAACGAAGCATAAATTTTAAATTTGGAGTGGTTTTTCTTCCCAGCAAGGACCCACACATCTCCCTGAAATAGATCTCTTTTAAGAGAATAAATTTATTTATTTTTAATTTTTTTTCCATAATTTTATTGAGAAACAAATAGCAATGAGACAGTTTCAAACCAAACTGGTAGGGGAGATTCAATAATTAACACATTGCATACATTCTTCCTGGTGGTTAATTGCTGTACAAGATGCAGACATGACATCCTATTTACAAACACTATTACAACAAATACCTCTATTCATTAAGAGAATGTAACTGTGTATCTATCCTAACCATTTTGAATATACAGATATAAAATGGACATTCATCTGTATCCCCCCCTTTTTTTTCTTTTTTTTCAAATCAAATTGGTAGGATAGTTTCAATAATTAACACATTGCATACATTCCTCCCAGTGGTTAATTGCTGTACAAGATGCAGACATGATATCCTATCTAGAAACACCATTAGAACAAATCCCTCTATTCACTAAGAGAATGTAACTATCCTAACCACTTTGAATACACAGATACAAAATGGACATTCATCTGTATACCCTTTTTTTTTGTTAAAGTTAAGTTCCATTATTTGAATATTATAGGTGTGTTAACTCAGCAAAATAATATAAAAGAGTTCAGTAGTCCATAGTAGTATTGGGTCTTCCGCTTCACTAGCAATGTCAGAAATTGTTGACCTGAGTCCCCTACAGCTCAACATAACAGCATGGCTTTATACTTCTTATATTTTGTTTTTGTACTTTTCTGCTGGATGGTTAAGACCAAGGTAAAGCAGGACCTATGCAACAAGAGTTGTAGCTTTAAGGTCAGTGAAATCCCCTCAGGATTTATCCTGAGATCCTGTACCTCAGATTGTTTGTCAGTGTCAGCCATGTGGATGAGTCATGGCCATTGCTTGGCCAATGTGCTCTCTGTGAAAGCCTGAGAGAATGTTTTCTCTCCATGTGACTCTCCTTAGGCACACTCTACATCATCAATCACTTTCCTCTTTGGCCCCATAATCTCCTTGATCAAAAATTTGGGACACTGCCGAGTTACATGACATTACAGTACAAGTTCTCATATGTCCTGAGTCTTTTATGGTCTTCTGAATACGGGTTGCTTGTCATGGCATGCCAGTTGCTGCTATGATATCTCTCAGGTAGATGGTTGTTCAAAAAGAAGGGGGTGGTGAATGAAAGCAAAAGACAGGAAAAGGAATATTGTAGGACTCCTGTTTCAAGGTTGTATATGGTGACATTTTTTGACTTATGTGTAAACATAAGAAGTATATAATTCTTTATGCCTATTTTTAAAATATATTCTAATTTTTATTTTTTTATCATATTCTATAAGGACTTAAAGTTCAACATATCAATACTTGATGAAAAATACCTGTTCCATATTATGCATATGATGTTTGATATGCAGACAGATAGTGAGGTTAAGCTTAACAGCCTAAGTTGTATGGTAAAAACAATAAGCTTGTCTTCTGGATGGTTAACAACCTTAGTTTGCTGACCAAAATTAGATGAAAAGGAGGGCTGCAAGGAAAGCCAACATTTGGCCCTAGCCTTCTAGAGATTAAATTTATTCCAATAAACAACATCACAAGTTTTTCTTGTTTCCCAAAAATTTTGTGGTGATCAAATATCTCATAAATTCTTCCAGAAAATATTTGGAATTAAGTATTGGAAAGAGTAGTTGGCTTACTCTGTTCTATCAGTTTCCTTGGTGAAATATTAAAGCCATTAGTAATTACCAGTGATTAATCTTGTGACCTGGGCCGGGGAGATGGCTCGGTAGAATAAGCGCTTCCCTGGCAAGTGCAAGGGTCTGAGTTCAATCCCTGGTTCTGCAAAAACAAAAACAAAACAAAAAAACCCCCAAAATCTTATGACCTACTCTTATAGTTAATATAGGGCTAACTTCCTTTTATCACTATACACATTTCATAACCATTTTTCCTCCCTCTCTTTTTTCTTGACTGCATTTCCCTTATCTTTTCCATTAGTAGAGATACAGAGTAATTTTAATATAACTATGCATAAGATACTGTTAGTCAAATCTGCTTTAAAAATGTGTGTTCCCTAAATCAGATGGATTTTTTTTGTAATACTTACTTAGGAGTGGCAGCAGCTTCTATCTCCCTTATACTACCCTTGAAGAAAATAAAACAAAACAAAACAGTTTTTTAGAGAAAAATTCTTTAAATAGGCACAGAGTAGAAGAACTATGTTGCTCATCATGAAGACACAAAGGAGGGAAGGAACTGAGTGACAGGATGCTTTGAATGAGCTTTTCGATCATTTAAAGGAGTGAGACTCTTGCCGTACCTACTTCAGGGATACCAGAAAGTAAAGCAGTACATTATACTCCACATTGCTCTGTGATAAGGGTTAGATACCACTACCTCCAGTCACTGTGCTCACATCTTGCATGAGTTAAAAGTGAAATGATCATTTACCCACCTATCTTTAAATGTGATTCTTATTAGAGTGTGGGCTATCAATGTGTTCTTATAAGTATTAAGATTGCTTGAGTTTTATTTAATTAAAATAGTAATTGAAACACTAAAATGTTGGGGGCCTGCCCCTTAGCTCACTTCTTTAAGTGGCTGCTTCAACAAAGCAGTCAGGCTCAGGTTGTTGTGGTTTGATCCCCACAACTCAAGCCAGCCAAACCTGCCCTGAAGGCATTGGGAGCAAAAAAAAAGAAACACTAAAATGTTGACATTTGACTTTGTTGACTTTTTCACATCTGTTACAGTCATCAAGTCTCATTGAAAATACAATTTTCAGTGAGACATTATTTAATATGCTACTTCTTTTCTAAGATACGAGTATTTTATATATATAATTGCATATTTACGTTTATGAAAATACTTATGCATACACACTTAAGGAATAAGGGAAGAATGAACCATACATTGTCAAATAATTCTCTAAAGTGATTACACCATCTTAAATTCCATTATAATGTATAAGAGTTTCATTTGCTCCATTTCTAATTCATTAAATGGTGTTAATCTTTTGTATTTTAATTCTTATTAGATTATTTGAGCTATTTTTCATATAACTTTGCCACTTTTATATCCTGTTTTATGAAGTGTATAGTCTTGTTTCTTGCTGGGAGTTATTAGTCTTTTATTTTGGACATGTAAGAGTTTGTTTATATCCTTGTTATATCTTTTTCAAATAATTATTTAATGAGTGACAGAATATTACATAAAACATATTAATACTTCTAGCATTTTAAAACTATTAAAAATTTTAGAGAGAAAGTAATATTTAAAATGCAAACTTCCAAATTTTAAGTTTAAGACAAAAATTGTATTCTATTTTTTATTTCAGGTGCAGTTAAAAACTACCATTTCCAGTCAGTATGTAATTCGGATGCAACCAACTAATAGGTGCCTTTCTACACTGGAGTGTGCAGCTGTTGCTCTTTCTATCTTGGAGAAAAATAATTCCATACTGGAGGTATGTGGAAGACTAGTTTTTTCAAGGAGAATTTGGTTAGATTCATTCAGAAAATTTAGACACATTTACCTTGTTAGATTTGTACTTTAAGTGACAAGTAGAATGTATGTGATAGAAATTTATGTGCTTTATAACCCTCTTTCTCCCTCTGGTGTTTTTCTTTGTTGGCTTAGCATTCCAAATTGCATAATTTAAATATTCATACTTAGCTGTGCAAATAGCATTTTGTAATATGCTAAATTGCATTTAAGTA